CCCCAAAACCCCAAAACCCCAAAACCCCAAAACCCCGAATGTTCTAATTTTTGAAGATACACAAATTAATAAAGTTAATTTAACAATCTATAAATTAATTTGAGCATCAAAATCGATATAATTAGTAACATTTAAGAATTAAAAAGCCTCTTGAACTGAAGCAAAGGGGCTTTAAATTTCATTATGATTCAATGAAACATAGTACAAATTTTTTAAGAATAATGACGACAACCACTTCACTGAAAACATTAATCTTGCTATCTTTACTAGTAACTGGGTGCCTCGCTCAAAATGATACAGGTACAACTTCGAATGCTACTGTGCCTCAAGATATGAATATGGAGAATATGGCCACAGCCTAGAGCCCACTTGTGACTGGAAACAAATGCAAGTATCAGTGGTATCCTGAGTTCAATGTCTTGCATACAATGTGCTTCGATGGTAATGGAATGCCTTCCAAAACTTAGATGAGAATAGTACAACAACCAATATCAAAATGCTCAGTTTAAAATAATAACTTCATTCTAGCTTTGCATGTAGAAAATATCGCAAGATTCTTTGTCAAGCCAACTGACGGTACCTATTTTTGCTGTGATATATATGAACCTGGGTACGGCTATTTATTCACTGATTGCGGGGGCTCTGAGATGATTGTTCTAAATGATCGACTTAATGATAACTTGTACAAGGATTAATAAAAGGTACTAGGATTCACTTATCCTTTATGGAATTTCACTGAACTCTAAGCATTAATTAATGCTAAATGCAATAATACTTATAAAGTAGTGGATGAATATGCTTGGGGTGGGGAATATTAGATTTGGATGACCCTAAACCTGCCTTGGTAAAATTGGATGACTGATATGAATATCCAGGATTTATAGGACTTAAAAGTCTGGCTCGTAAGATATTATCAATTCTTGTAAGCTTACTTTATCTCAAGCTAATAAGCTAATGAAACACAACAAGCTGCAAATATACAAGCTTTAATTAATAGCTTCGATCCTGCCATTGTTGACATGACTATAACTGAAATAGCAGCTAATTATTCAATGTTCTTGAATAACTTTACTTAATGGTTTTCAAACATTTCATCATAGGCTGTTTAATCACAACCTGGCTTAGCTGCAATCCCTCCTGGATATAGAGCGATTGTAAGATGGGTAAGAACGCATATGATATAAGAACTTCATGTTTAAATTGCAGTTCAAGTTAATTAGACTTTGCCTTCAGGTGGTGGTGAAATTCCTCCACCTAGTGGATTGAATACTGGAGCCGGAGGTATCAACGGAGGTGATTTCGGCGATTAGACTTACAATAATATGGGTATGGATTCACCAGCCTTGACTAGTGGTGGATCAAACTAGAATCTTAATCCCTTTGGAAGTGGTGTATGAATTTATTAAAATACTTTACTTATTCACTTTTATAAACATTTTATAGTAATCAACAACAAGGGGTTTTGGGGTTTTGGGGTTTTC